CTCAGATGGTGACCTGTAAATTACTTGGCAAGACAGGCTGTTTTGATTGCTGGCCCAGTCACCAGCTTGCAGATCTGGCTCGTGTACTGTGCCCACAGGAACAGGTGGATGTCTGGCATCCCCCTGCCCCTGGCCCATTTCTTCATGTGCAGGGTCTTTCTTGCCACCTTCTCCATTCTGGATCCCCAGAAGACGCACATAGTTCTCTGGATTCTATGGGTGACACACTTGGGTCCCTGGGTGGAAGACCAGTGCAGTGTACAGAAGCAATGGCAGCAACACCACCTTCACAAATACCACATCAGAAGTTCTTCCCTCTGCTTGTTGAGGCCCACCATCAGTGCAGGTCTCCCCTGCGCTTGTATCCTCCCCTTTAGAAACAATGCCTCCTTTGTCTGGAGGTGCCAGAATTCCTCATTAAATGTCAGACTTCCAGTCAATCTCCCTGGCTCAATTAGCACCCAGCCACTGTTAATAAAGTTTTCCATCCCACCCCCCAAAACTGAGAATTCCTCCTTAATTAGCAATGGGGTGTGGTTACCATATCAAAGAGATCTTTTGATCCTCTCTAACACCTCGGCAATATACAATTAACAGTATCCTCCTGAAGGTGTTTTTTGGCATAGTGGTGAGGCAACTATTTCCTGCTGTGATTGTGAGCAAACTTCCCCTTTGAATAAGAACTATTAAGGTTCTCATGAATAATTATTAATTATTAAATACTTATGTAACACCTTTTTCCCTGCCTGAGCAGGGAGAGTAGCATAAGTTTTCACCTTGTCTGCATACAAAGTTGAGTCAATTTAATTAAAGTGTGTAACATTTACCAGCCTACCTGTGCCATATAATTGTACAATGCAGCATAAAGTGGGAGAGACTAACATGGAAAGAAACACTCCCGTTTTGGAATAAGGGGATGTCATCAGTGCAGGGTTAACTCTTATAATGGGCTCCTGGCCCTGAGAACCCTGGTTTGCAAATCCCTGGTGTGAACAGGAACATTGCAAAAGCATACCTGATTACTGCATCCTCACTGCTTTTCCAGCGGTTTGTGGAAGGCCTTGTCTGTCCTTCTGGCCACACAGAGGGAACTGTGGGAAGGTACTGGCAGATAGTTAGCACTCAAGTGGTTTAGCTTGCATCCATACTCTGGAGCAGGTGGGATACCCAATCTAGGAGAAAGCAAAACATAGGCTTCATCCCATCAAGGTCAGACAGCCTCAGTTTAAAGCAACACCAAACTCAAGGTTTGCATAAAATCAGGGGAAGGAAGTCTTCAGGGTAACATTCAAGTAAAAGTCCCAATGAACTATAGTAAAGCTACTTAGCAGCATGTACACAAGGATTCGTGCCTCTTTAATTATGGTAGTAAAATCGCAGGGCAGTAAACTCATAACCTTCCCAATGCTGACAAACCTTCAGCGTTTGCTGCTACATGGGCAGACTTACATCCATTTAAAACTATCCCTCTGGGTTTGGCCTGCGCCTTTCAGGCCTCATTTACATGAGAACATTGTACCAGTTGCACCAAACTGATTTAATGAAACTGATGCACCTCCCTGCTGTGCACACGGTGTATGAACACACTTAACTTATGTTTCATGTCAGTTTATGTTGGTTTAACTGAATTCAGTTCCTTGCTGATTTAAGCTAAGTCGATTATAAGCATGGCTGAGACTGATTTAGAGGGTTGCACTGGTTTATTAAGTAATTGCACTGTAGAAGCTGGATCAGGCCCTGATTGTGCTAGGTTCTGTACAAACACTGAACAAAAAGATAGATGCTGTCTATGCAAACTTCCATAGATTCAGAGACTCAGAGTTTAAGGCCATAAGGGACCCCAAAGTCATTTTGTTTGATCTCTTATTTATCACTAGTCATTACATTTCACTTAGTTACCCCAGGATTTAATCCAATATTATTGCATCTTCCTGGAAGGTGTCTGGTCTTGATGTGAAGAGATCAAGAGAAGAACCACCACTTCCTTTGGTGTAGAGTTAGCAATCTAAAAATACTAAACTGTGTGTGTAGAGCAGGCCTCATTCACCATTAAAATGTATTATCAATCAAGTTTCAATAGTCTGAGCCCAGCTCAATCCCAGTGTCAGAGAGGACTCACCTTGGACCATTATGTAATTGATCCACATACGGATATTGGCAGCACCCCATAACAGTTGCAGAAGTGAACTGCAGGACTTCCCATGGGCCAGCTCCGGTCTCTCCACCATTGTTGGTGAGAAGATGCAGAAATGTGTTGGGGCACTTCTATTAGTGGCAAAACAGTGGGAGCAGTAAGTGTACTCAGGGGAGTGGCATTTTTACCACAGTGCTGTCTAATCCAGAGGAGGAGAGGCCTAGTAACATGTGGTGCATCTACACGAGACCCTTTACTATGCAATAGCATAGTTTACTGTGCAGTAAGCATGTGCATCTGAGCCTAATCTACATATAAAATGAACTGTTCCAAACAGGAGATTTTAGCATACCTTCAACTCTCCTACGAAATATGAACTTTCATTTCTACCCAGGAGAACTTTTATAATCTTTTGTCCTATACCTGATGAAGGGCGTTTGTGCCCGAAAGCTTGCAATTAAAGAATTTTTTTTTGCAATATCTAGTTGGTCTAATAAAAGATGTCACCTCTACCACAAGTCCCGATTTCTACATGTGCACACACTTACTGCACAGTAAGCCTTGCTTTTTGCAAGTAAATTTTCTACCTACAAATGCAAATAGCAAATTTACTTGTAATTAGTTACTGCGCAGTAACACTCTTGTCGATGCCTGGCCTGGAGCAAATCTGCTCCTGGTCAGTCAGCCACCAGGGAGCGGGAGATTGTTCCCTGCCCCCGGGAACTGCCTGCTAACAGGGTGGGCTCTGCTACCAGGGCCCAGGTACGGACTATGTCCCCTGCCCCAGCAGCAGGGAGCTCTAAGCCCTCCGCTCTGAGATCAAAATCAGGGAGTGAGGACTGGAAGATCTTTCTCTCCTAGTGCCAGGCCCATGACCATGGAACTGGCAGTGCGCCTGACCTGCTGTTGTGGAGCTGGCACTGAGAGCTCCCTGCTGGCAGGGGCTGAAAAGCCTGTTTCCTGCTCAGCTCCATGATTATGGAGCTGGGTGGGGAACAGGCAGGGGATCCAGCTCCACACTCACAAAGCTAAGCACGGAACAAGCTCTCCAGTCCCCGGCCCTGTGATTATGGAGCAGAAGCTGGGAACTGTCCTGGTCAGGGGCAGGTCCCAGCCCCGTGCCCTGATTGGGTGATTGGGGAGCCAGGGCCAGGAGCTCCCTGCTGCTGGGCAGGGGGACATTGTTTCCACCCTGGCAGCAGGCAGTCCCCCAGGAGCAATGTGCAATGTCTCAGCCCCGGCCAGGAGAGAGCTGTCTCTTGGCCTGGTGCTCCTGGCAAGCCCCTGCCACCCATTGCAAGGACCTAGGAAGCAGAAGCAGTTTGCTGCCAATAGCAGCAAATCTGCTCCCGCTTCCCTGCATGTGTGGATATCTTGCGAGTAAACTGCTCCTGGATCTAATGTATATGTAGATGCACCCAAGTAGGTTAAGATGCTTGCATGAATCTCTGTGTCCTGTCTGCACTCACAGCCCAGTCTTATGACCACTGATATTGTTGCATCCAGTCTGGGATGTTCCCAGATTAAAAAACCTTGGCAGCTCTGTCTGTTCAAATCTGACCTTAACCAAGTGCTGGCTAAACCAGCTTGCAACATTGCTTTTTATTAGTAGTATAAGGGAAGAGCTGTAGAGGCGTCAGCCAGTAGCAGGGCTCCATTCAGTTAGGTGCTATACAGACATGTAGTAAGTCACAGTCCATGGCTCAAAGAGCTTCTGTCCTAAACAGCCAAAGGAAGGGAAGGAGAAGCAGTGGCACAAAAAGGAGAAGTGACTTGCCAAAGGTCACACAGCAGGTGGATGGCTAACCCAGGCACAGAACTGAGGTCTCTTGACCCTTTACCTTGTGTCCTATCCTATAGGCCACACTGCTCTCATTAGGGTTTTGTTGACCAGTGTGGGCAGGGCCAAACTGTTTTAAGTCATTTTCAGGTCCTGCTCTAATGCAGATCAGGACTGTTCCACTCTGGGCCTAGGATAAAACCTATGATGTTTTCCATGACATGTTTTAAATGAGTTGGCTTCTGTGCCCACTAAGGCTGGCAGAGCTGAGTCTGACACCAGTTCAGCTGAAACTTAAATCACTTCAAAACCAGTTTTTAAACAGGCTTCAGAGCCCAGTGCTTTGCACTGTGCTAAACCTATGGGGAAGAGAAAGCCCATTCTCTGCTCACTGGAGGGGTGGATGTCGTATACTTAGACTTGAGGAAGGCCTTCGATACGGTATCCCACCCCATACTGGTGAACAAGTTAAGAGGCTGTGACTTGGATGACTACACAGTCCGGTGGGTGGCGAATTGGCTGGAGGGCCGCACCCAGAGAGTCGTGGTGGATGGGTCGGTTTCGACCTGGAAGGGTGTGGGAAGTGGGGTCCCACAGGGTTCGGTCCTTGGACCAATACTCTTTAATGTCTTCATCAGTGACTTGGACGAGGGAGTGAAATGTACTCTGTCCAAGTTTGCAGATGACACAAAGCTATGTGGAGAAGTGGACATGCCAGAGGGCAGGGAACAGCTGCAAGCAGATCTGGACAGGTTGGACAAGTGGGCACAAAACAACAGAATGCAGTTCAACAAGGAGAAATGCAAAGTACTGCACTTAGGGAGGAAAAATGTCCAGCACACCTACTGCCTAGGAAATGACCTGCTGGGTGGCACGGAAGCGGAAAGGGATCTTGGAGTCCTAGTGGACTCTAAGATGAACATGAGTCGGCAGTGTGACGAAGCCATCAAAAAAGCCAATGGCACTTTATCGTGCATCAACAGATGCATGACAAATAGGTCCAAGGAGGTGATACTTCCCCTCTATCGGGTGCTGGTCAGACCGCAGTTGGAGTACTGCGTGCAATTCTGGGCGCCGCACTTCAAGAGGGATGCGGATAACCTGGAGAGGGTCCAGAGAAGGGCCACTCGTATGGTTAAGGGCCTACAGACCAAGCC